TAGTAACCTCCTGGGCTGAACTCAGGCAGGCGAGATTTCAAGGGGTAATTTGGTGAGAAACCGATCTAGATCCTGCGCCTGGGGTGTGCGGGGAGCGCCTGGGGTGTGCGGGGAGCGGTGGGGGTCCCCCAGGGGGCCCGGGGGTGTGAGTACAGGCTCACAGGGGCCCCAGAGGGCATTCTGCCAACCTCCAGGCCAGAAAGGTCCCAGGCCAGCTCCCCTCCCAGCCTAGCCCCTGTCCCCGGCCCACAGAACACCCTCCCACCCCAGACCTTGTGCTCCCCGGGCGGGCGGTCACTGCCCTGCTGGGCCCAGGCCGCCCCTGCTTGCGCCCCAGGAACCTCTCTCCTGTCGCCCTGCCACTGGGGCCCCCATTCACACGCGTGCCCCACTTCACGGTGGCCAGAGCCCGCCGGGGCACCCGCGTTCCCAGCCGGACCGTCCCTTCTGCCCGTACCTGGCTGGCGCCCCGACTCGCCAGGTCCCCCGAGATCTCCCTGGCTCAAGTCGCCTGCGTGACCCCGCCCCGGGGGTGCTCAGGAAATGCCTCTCAGGGCCAGGGAGGCAGCCCAGTGGTCAGGGCGCTTGTCCCCGCATGCCCCTGGAGCGGAGCTCAACGGCTGGCCCTGCCTGGCCCCTGCGAGCACTGTCAGGGGTAGCCCTGGGTCTCTGGACGGCCAAGCCCAGCACCAAGCTGTCCAGCCTGGCTGGCTGAGGGTCCCAGGAGCCCCCTCCCGGGTGCCCTCACGCATGTTGCACGGCAGGCTCCCCCTCCCAAAGGACCCCCCTCCCCGTCACTGAAGCCCACGGGATGAGTGCCAGGCCCGGCTGCGGCTGCGGGAGGGACCCACAGGCGCGCTGCAGATTCCAGCCGGGCCAGGCGCGGGGAGCCGGCTCTGTACCAACGGGCGGACTAGACCCAAGGACCAACCCAGCCCACAAACGAGCTAACAGAGGTGGAGGGCAGGTGGGCCCGGCTGCTGTGGGCCCCTCACCCGTCCACGTGGTCACCTGACCACAGCCGATGTCCAAGCGGCGCAGAGAGGGCTGGGGGTGGGCATGAGGGCCGGGGGGAGCCCCACCTTCAGCCCTGCTTCTGGGGAATACCGAGAAAGCACCCAAGTGCCTGGAGCCTCCAGTGGAAGGACGGAAGGAAGGAAGGAAGGAAGGAAGGAAGGAAGGAAGGAAGGAAGGGAAAGGAAGGGAAGGAAGAAAGGGAGCCACGCTGGAGGCCAGAGGCGCCCTGGCCACTCCCCGTGTCCCCCGTCCCTGGGGTGGCCTCCTCCCGGCTCCCCCTGTTCTCGGCTGCTCGGTGGAGCCCAGCGACGCCCGCGGCAGACACCCACCGACACCAGGGCCAGCCAGACACGGGAGCCCACCAGTTCCCACCCGCCAGGCGCTCCACGCCCCCTCAGCCCTCACTTCCCACGGAGACGCGGCGGGCACACGTGGCCGCACACGCGTGCGTGCAGTCCCCGGGCGCCCCACCGCCGGATGGGCCCGTGGGCGGGGGTCCGGGTGCCCGGCAGGCCGCGGCCCCCCAGGAGGGGGGAGGGAGGGGTGTGGGGCGGCGTGGGCAGGCTGCCCGGTCCCAGGGGGGGCATCGGGAGGGAAAAAGGGAAAATCAATAGCCAGTTTCCAGCCCTGCCCGCGGCGAAAGTAACCGCATCCTGCATCTGACACCGCCCGGGGCCTCGCGGTTCCCCCAGGTCCTTCCCGCCCTGACCACACGCTCCGCTCCCTGACATGTCCCTGGACGCCGCTTGCCCAGCCTTGCAGTGAGGGAGCCCTGAGCCAACAGGTGCCGAGGGCCCGGATCTGGGGGGGTGGACGAGCCACAGAGGGGTGGGGGTGGGGGAGGCAGCGGCCGCGCCCTCGGGCGACTCCGGCCCGCTGGCACCGCGCACGGCACCCTGCCCAGAGCCAGAGCCTCTGCCTGCCCAGAGATGCCAGGCGGCCCCGAGCGCCGGCAGCTGAGCTCAGCAGCTTCTGGGGAGGGCCGGCGCGCAGACTGGCCCCTGCCCCAGCTGGAACGGGCGCTCCGCCGGCATCGGTGCCAGACGTTGACACCGAGCGGCCGCCTGGCTGGGCGCCCCGGGACGGGAGACTCTCGGCTCTGCTGGGGGGTGGGGGTGGGGGGGAAACAGAGGCCAGCGCCTCCACCTCCTCCTCCACACCCCAAGCAGATGGCAAGGGGTGGCTGCAAAGGGCCCCCGGGGCCCCGAGCCATACGGCTGAGCCCCGCACCAGAACAGACAGGCCCTGGGGTGGGTGGGGGCCACAGCTGCGGGTGAGGGGGCATGAGGCGGGGGCCGGGGGTGCGGTGGGCTGCTTCTCGGTGCACCTGCCTGCAGGGGCCTGCTGGAGGGGTGAGAGGAGGCAGAGAAAAAGGCACTGCCGGGCGGGGTGGGGGTGGGGGGTCGCGTGGGGAACGACTGGCCACGGGGAGGGCTGGCCACACCCCAGCAGTATCCGGCATCCAGCCGGGCAGGGCGTCCCTCGGCATGGAAAAGTCAGCTCAGCAGCCGGGCCTGGTGGGGCTGGCCGCCGCGGCCTGGACACGGGAGGGCGGGGAGAAGCCCTTCCGACCCGACACGGGTGCAGGCTCCGGCCCGGACACTCCCCGCTGGAAGGTTCCAGAAAGGAGCCGGGCTGAGACACGGGCACTGGACTGAGACACGGGTCTGGGGGGGGGCTGCTTCAACCGTGCACCCCGGGCCCCCTGTGCAGGCCCGCGTGCCCCCGCACACCTTGACCCGAGCACTCCTTCACGGACCCCCTCACTGTCCTTCCTCTGCGCCTGTGTGTGAAGGGAAAGCCACCCCCTCCCCCCCGCCCCAGACCCCCTACCAGCCGGCCTCCACCTGCCTGGCAGGGAGCACCTGCCCACCCGACTCCCGCTCCGGCAGCTCTGACCCACTTTGCTTTTCCCGGGGCCCTGACGCCCCCTCCCTCCCCCCGCCACCCCATCCCACCCCACGCTGATGCACCCGCTCCCCACCCCCCAGCCTCAGAAGCCTGAGCCGGAGCCAGAGGAAATTCTCGAGAGAAACACACACACACACACACACACACACACACACACACACACTCTCCTGCAAGCCTCCCTCCCACACAGGTAGCCTAGATCTGCCCGCTCCAGACACCGGCAGTCCCGGGGGTCCCGCTCTGCTCCCTGCGCCTGCTGGAGGTCGGGGGGCCACGCTGCGGCCAGCCCAGGGAGACCGGAGGCCCGAGGCCCGGTGCCAGCCCTGCAGCTGACACAGTGTCCATACGTCCCCCCAACCCCCCCCACCGACACCCTCTGCCACCACCCGCCCCCTGGCCCCTGCCTCGGGGCCCTGGTGCTGCCCGCCTTGGGCTCCCTACCTGCTGAGCTGCCCAGACCTCTAGCCCAGCGCCGGTGACCACGGCTTCTCCACGCTCCCGTGGCCTCCGCGACCACCTCGGCCGGGGTGCCCAGTGGTCAGTCACCTGCTCAAGGTCACAGGGGCCCTCCCGGGAAGTCAAGATGTCAGGGGCACCCCCCACCCCGGACCACACACAGGCCTGGAAGCACCTGAAGTGGCCCACACCCTCCTGGCTGGCTCTCCGGACACCCAGGTGCCTCCCCCAGGCCCACCCCGGCTCCAGCCCAGCCCATCTGCTCTTCAATCCCGACTCCATCGCCCCCCGACCTCTTTCCCAGACCTAGGGATCTCCTCGGCGAATCCCCCCCCACCCCGACTACCCCAGGGGGCTCACCTCGCCCCTCTGCTACGTGGGGCGCCGGGGGACACGCGGGGTGGGATGCGAGACGTCCACAGCGTCCCCCAAAGGCAGATGTGACACCCTGGCCCCCTGCCTTCCAGGCTTTATCCTGCCCCCTCCCCGCCCAACCCGGCCCGACCCAGGCACCACCCCAAACCATCCTCGGGACCCGAAGGCTTCCAACCACCAACAGGAGATGGGGAGGCACCCAGACACCCCCGCCCTCCCCCCCCAAGGAGCCGAGCCCCCGAGAGGGGCTGGACTCAGTGTCCTCAAACAGCTTGGGAACAGCCACTTGGCCGAGACGGGTAGGAATTGCGTGCCCAGGACAATGCCAGTTTTGGGGGCATCCTCCCACCCCCCACCCCCGGGCGCTGTTCTGGTTACCGTCAGGGCTCCACAGAGGAGAACCGCTGGGGGCTCTGTGTGTGTGTGTGTGGGGGGGGGTGTCTCTTTCAAGTTCCTGAGCGAGGGTCCGGGCCTCCTGCAGTCCCATGGGGGGTGCCCCCCTCCCGGCCCACCCAGCAGGCATAGAAGCAGCTGGGCCAGGCGGTGTCCTCCGTCATCAGCAGAGAGGGAGGACGGCAGTACCCGCTCCCGTCCACCAGGGCCTCAGGGCCACTGATTGGGCCCCCCACTGGGCCGGGCAGGTCCCCCCCAGCTCCCTCCTCCAGGACCCCCCTGCACCCGCCCAGCCAGTCTCTCACAGTCACGGAGGGGGGAGCACTCACATCCTGCAAGCCCTGGTGGGTGGGTGGCCTGTCCACCACCTCTCCCCCCCTCCCCTCGCCCCCGCCCACCCCCCAGGCGGGTTCGGCCACTCCTGACCGCGTCAAGGCCAGCAAGCAGCGACCCGGCCCTGGGGCGGCCGGACAGCACTTCCCCACGCCCATGCCCCGGGCATGCACCGCGGGGCCACCCGGGTGGGTGGGGAAAGCGGCGGGAGCGCCCGGTGCCCACCAGCAAGCCGTGCCCGGGGTGGGGGGTGGGGTGGGGGGCTGCACCGCCTCCCCCCAGGCGGCCCCCATCCCCCGAGGCGAATGGGGGGGTGGAGGCGTGGGGGGGGGCGCGCGGGGGGCTGAGTCCTCCCCGCAAATCCACGCCGCCAGGGGCCGGACCCACGCGGCCCGCGGGCGTCGCCCTGCCCACGCCGCGGCGCCACGGACCTCACACCTGCCACGGGCGCGCGTGGCGGCCCCGTCGGGCCAGCAACGCCCCGGCCCGCGGGCGGCCCGCGCAAGCCCCCTTACCTCCCGCCTGCCGCAGGGCTCGGCCCGCCGCCGCCGCCGCCGCCGCCGCCGCGACCGCCACCTCCATCCTGGGCTCCCCAAGGCCCCGATTCACTAACGCCGCTTCCGCAGGGCGCCGGCGCCGGCGCGGAGGCCGCCTCCGCCCCCCCAGGGGACGCTGCGTCCTTTACGTAAACCCCACTCCGCTGCCAGCGGTGACCATGGCGACGGCCGTGGGGCGCCAGCGCCCCCTGGCGGCCGGGAGGCGGCGGCGGCGGCGGCGCCCGGCGGTGCCCTGCGTGCCGCGTCCGTGGCGGGCGCTGGGGGACCCCCGCGTGCGTGGGGGGGCAGGGGAGGGGGGCGACGGGCCCGGCGCGGGTGGGGGGCGCAGGGGGAGCGCGGGAGGGGCCGGCCGCGCCGCGCCGCCGGCCGGCCGGGGAGCCCCGCCTGGGTCCCCCCCCCCCATCCACACTCCATCCCCTCCCTCGGGTCCCGCGTGACCGGGTTTAGCGTGGGTGAGGCAAGACAGCCAGTCGGATCACTGGGAAACTGGTTCATTTGCGGGGAGGAAGGCGAGAAATGGTTTCCACCTCTGGTGGGGAGTGGGGGGCACTGCCTGCGAGCGCCTGGCGGGGGGAGAGGGCGGGGCGTCGGAGGAGCAGAGCATCCTCATCCCCGTCCTGGCCTTGCACCGACCACGGGGCTCCGCAGGGGGGGCTTGGCTTGGCCCAATTTTGGGTTCCAGGTACATGAAATCCGTCGTCCCTCGGGCGCCTGCTGCACGCATGCCCCGTTTTTAGTCGTTTCACGCACCTTCTTGGGGAGCCGCTCCTGAGCAGGAAGGGTACCACCCTCCAGGATGGGGCAGGGCAGACCCCTGCCCTGCATGCCCACGAGGCTCCATCCCCAGCCAGGATGCTCTGGGAGAGGGTGGCCGAGCTCTTCCTGGGGTTTCTGCATTGCAGGGGGCCCTGGAAGCTGCAGGCCAGGGCGTGAGGACCCAGCTGGGTCTCCCAGGGCTGGTGGGAATTCATCGGAGGCGACAGGGCCGTGGAGTCCTTACAGTTTCACAAGGCACCATGTCCCTAAAAGGCTCCCCACCTCCCCACCCCCACCCCCACCCCACCCCCCCACCCCTCCCGGGGCCCTGATTCCAAAGGAAACAGGATGATGGACAGACGTTCAGAGCAAGTGGGAGCCTGGGCGCGGCATATGGAGCTGTGTGTCACGGGGTTGACTGAGGTGGCGTCGCAGCCTGAAAATTACCAGGACATTTGGATTCAAAGTGCAGCGCCGGGCAGGTGGGAGCGACTTCCGGAGGGAGTTCTGTGTTACCTGCAAGCTACCTGGGTGGGAGGCGCATCCGAAGGAAACAGAACAAGGACAAAACTTGGGGAAAGGGAGAGCAAGGAGCGGGATTCCACGGAATTCCAGACCACGCCGAGCCCTCCCAGCCTCTGGAGGAGCGGGGAGTTTACAGAGATTCTAAGGGCTGCTACAGAAGCAGCAGTTGGGGGAACTTGCTAGGGGAATTGAGATTCAATCACGATCAGAACTATCCAGCTTCACGGTCTGTTCCTTCGAAGTTCTGATTCCCAGAAGAAAGCATCTGATTGGTCCAGCTTTTGCACGGAGAAAGCTGCCTGCTGGTCCAACGTTTGCACGAAGAAAGGACCTGGTTGGTCCAGCCTGGGCACCTTCGTCAGCCAGGACCACGCACACACACACACACACATACACACACACACACACACACACACACACACCAGTGGTAGATAGGCCCAGGTTTCAACTTCGGAGAAAGCAAGTAACCCCCAACAGCCACATCACAGACTCTGTGATACTGCATCCTTCATTGTCCCCCAAAACACACGTCCTGGTTTCCACTGACCCAGACCTGCCCTCACTAAAACCAAGTCCCAGCATTCCGAGTGTTGGGATGTGGACCCCAATATTTTTTGGGGGGGGTCACACTAGGCGAAGCACAGGGGGTTACTCCTGAGTCTGCACTCAAGAATTACTCCTGGTGGTGCTCAGGGGACCATATAGGATGGTGGGAATCGAACCCAGGTCGGCTGCATGCAAGGTAAACGCCCTACCCGCTGTGCTATTGCCCCAGCCCCCTGTCAATCCAAACTTGATCAAGATTTTTTTTTAGCCTCCAAACTTGATGAAGATTTTTTTGTTTGTGGCCACATGCAGTGGTGCTCAGGAGTGACTCCCTCGCTAGTGGGGGTGTGGGGAGCGTATGTGGAGAGGGAGAGATCTGGGGTGAGCCGTGTACAAGCCAGGCAAGCACCTTTGCTAACCCTTGTCCTCTTAGGACTGGAGTCTGAGATTTTCCAGGTGTTTCCATCACGGCCTTTTCCCAACAGAATTCAGCTAACGGGTGCATTGAACCACGCGTCTTCCGAACCCTCCCTCCTTCGAGCGTGCAGTAGATGCACTGTTGGAAAGGCTTTCTCAGGCCCGAGAACCCCAACATGCGGATAAGAGCCCCAGATGACTTGTGGGCACACCCAGCTGGAGAGGCACAGCCGACAGAAGCATCAGGGGGAACGAAAAACACACAGATAGGCCCTCACTGCGCTCATGCCTATTGAACAGGAGGGGGAGGGGGGTGGGGGGGGGAGGCTTGTTATTTCCTCTTCAGCCATTCCAAGAAGCCAGATCGAGTCTGAGATGCCCCTTTTTCTTTCTTTACTGGCAGTGTGGGTGACGAAACCCAGGACTTCAAGCCATATGCAAGGGCATCGCTCTACCACAGAGGCACAGTCCTGTCTGGCTATCTCGGTTTTTGCAGAATTTCGCAAGCTCCTAAGATGACTTCCTTCGGCGTCCTCAACTCCGCCTGTGTCCCCTTTGCTTGGATCTCTCTTTGCCCAGCGGACTGAGCTGAGTCCTGGTCTCTGAAGAGCGGAGCTCTGGGCGATCCTGGCTGCAGAACATCTCAGGCCGATTTCTTTTTTTTTTTTTTTCCCCTTTATTTTATTTTATTTTTTTTAAAGTTGTAGATTTACAATTTTTTGTGCTTTGGTTTCAATTATACAATGATCAGATACCCATCCCTCCACCAGTGCCCATTTTCCACCACCATGGGTAATATCCCTCCCACCCCCATCCCCCCATCCCCCCGTCTCTGTGGCAGGGCAATCCCCTGTGTTCTCTCTCTCCTTTTGGGTGTTGTGGTCTGCAAAAGAGGCATTGAGTGGCAAACATGTTCAGTCCATAGTCTACTTTCGACATGCATCTCCCCTCCTGGGAGGATCCTCCAAACATCCTTTATTTGGTGCTCCCTTCTCTATCTGAATAGCCCTTTCCTCTAGGATACCCGGCTGGCTCAGGCCGATTTCTACCTGCATCTTCACAGGCAGAATGATGTACAGTGGGGGCAAGGGAGTGAGGGTTGGGGGGTGTCTCCGCCTCCACCTGGATGTGGAAGAGGTGGGGGGGGTCCCCAAATGCCCAGGTGGCAGTCAGTCTCCATTTCCAACTGCAGGGAAGCAGGTGGTGCCTCCTGGTGGCCAAGTTCCTCCCTTCTCTTCTCCAGTCACCTGGAGACCGTCAAAACCCAGAGTTGTCGGAACCAGGAAGCCGACCGACCCGCAGACCTTTTGCTGCTGGTGAAAATCGTCTCTGACAGGCCATGCTGTGCTGAAAGGCTTTTCGAAGCCACTTACCACAGGGGGTGTCTGACTCGCTCCTGCTCCCAGGCTGCACCCCGCCCCTCTCCTGCCTCTAATACCTGCTCTCACCCCAGTTCTGTCAGGTGTCTCCAGGACTGTGAGTGACAGGAGCTGGGGAAGAGGGAGGGAGGGAGGGTGGAGGGAGGGCCTCCAGCGGGCAAACCGCCCTCCAGTGCCAGGTCCAGCGGCCAGGCTAGATTTCTCCTGCTCCCTGCCAAATTCCCACTCTGGCCTCAGTTTACCCCTGGGTCCCAGTGGGGATAATAACACGGCTCCTCCTCCCAGGGGGGCCGAGCAGATTAACTAATTAGTGAGTGTGACATCGTCGGCTTCCACACAGGGGCTGATTAAATGCTGAGTGTTGTTATTAGAACGATGGGAAAGTGTGGTGGTGGGGGGGGGGTTTAACCGGCAGAGTCGGCTGTAGATGGATCTGTTCCCCTCGCCTCCTCCCCACCCCCTCCCTCCGTCTGCCCCACACTCTCGCGAGCTGAACATCTTGCAAGACAAAACCAAGATGCTTTCTGGCACCCCGGAGACGGAGACGGCGGCGGAGACGGGGAACTTTGGTTGCGTTTTCCCCTGCGCCGCCGGCATGTGAGTCACGAGCGATCGTAGGGCGCGATGGAACCGCGTCTCCGACAGCTGGGCCCCCGAGGTGACGTGACACGGCTCCTCGCGGCTGCAGAACGGGCTGGACTGGCCAGCGATCGCATCGGGAGTCGAGTTACCTGCAGAATGACAACTGCAGACTTTCATCCCTTGGTCCCTCCGTCCCGGAAACGGAGTGGTCGGTCACCTTTCCACCTGGGGCAGCTGCCAACAGGGTCCGTGACCTGGGCCTGGAGGAATCTGAGGCGTGCAAGGGTTTCCTAGGATGAAGTTTCTGTCCCCAGCCTGGGGGGCTCCAATGGCGGTGTCCCGTTGGGTGATAGGAGCAGAGCCCAAGACGGACCAGAGGGATTCTGGCGGAGCTTGGAGCCAGATGCAGAAAGCCCGGGGAGGCAGCTGAGTTAATAATGGATGTGATTTTCCCCCAGGAGTCCGTGTGAGATCACCTCTGTCCCCAGAGGCTGGGGTCCCCCAGGCTTGAGTGTGGTAGGGTGCTGGCTTCCACACCCAACACCCAGTCCCCGTCATGGGGTGGACGGGGAAGGAGTTATGTCATTCCCCGCGCTCACACCCACACTGGGGCCGTGGGCCTCTGACACCGTGGGGAATGTTGTTTACCCAGAGAGCCTGGCTGGAGGGAGAGAGAGAGAGGGAGAGAGAGAGGAGTGAGAGGGAGGGAGAGAGGAGAGAGAGAGAAAGAGAGGAGAGAGAGAGAGGGAGAGAAAGAGGAGAGAGAGGAGAGAGAGAGAAAGAGAGGAGAGAGAGAGGGAGGAGAAAGAGAGAGGGAGAGAGTGAGGAGAGAGAGAGAGAGAGAGGGAGAGGGAGAGTTGAGAGGGAGAGGGAGGGAAAGGCTCTCGAGGCGGAGTGCTCAGAC